ATCTTAAAGAGAAAAGAGGAAGTCTATAGGGCACGTGTATTGTTTATGAAAAACTCTCAGAATACTTGTTTATGTGTTCTACATGATATAAACAAGATGTATTCGTGAAACACTATGCGCCCGGTGGCAACAAAGTTCTATAAAGCAATTTTTAGAAAATTGGTCTCAGTCAAGGTCACACTATCATTGTCCTTGGTGCCAGTTGAAAGTGTATAATTAGTGGATTTAGCATACCAAATATGAAGTCTCTATCTCTCACGGTTTAAAAATTATGGCGAAAATTCGAAAAAAGCTATTTTTAGCATAAAGGTCACAGGAAAGGTCACAAGGTCATTGACCTTGGTGTCAGTTGAAAGTGCTTAATTAGTAGTGTATGCATACCAAATATGAAATCTTCATCTCTCACAGTTTAAAAGTTTTGGCGAAGGTTAAAGTTGACAACAGACAGACAAACAGACAAACAGATAAACAGACAGACAGACAAGCAGACAGACAGGACAAAAACAATATGCGCCCCGAATAAATTTGGGTGCATAATAATTCTTTAAACACGATTACTATGGTGAAGGAATTCTGGACAATATAGGATGTTTATGGTGACATTCGTGTTAAATTTCAGTTATATATTGATTATAAAAATATACATAACGAAAAAGTCATATAGTTTTCATTTCAATTACATTTTGAATGTTATTACAAATACCTTGCAAGAAATCACATAAGGGAGTTATTTTTATATATAAGGCTGTTAAATTTATTAATTTTGCAATAGTGATTCAAGGCAAACTGTGCATTCAGGTATTCTTTGTTCGGTATTTTTTTCCTAAAAACTTTTAAAAATATTATCTTCTAATTTTATTACAATTCGTATCTAGAATTCTTATACAACATCTGTACTTATGAATACAAAGACGGAATTGTTACTTGTTTTAGTTTTGTGGATAATCATCATGACCAAAGGTGACTCTCCAAAAACAAAGACCTTTCGCCAGGACTACGTAACCTACAAAAATGTCTGCCGGGAAATGGATTGGGTTCCAAAGTGTGATTGATATAAGGAAACCAAGGAAGGTAACCGATTCATAAAAAATCGTAACACTGTTTAAGCATAATCGTGATGCTTGTCGACCTTGCAGTAAAACATTTTAATTATTTTTAAAACCTTTTGCTTAATAATAATGAACCGTAAGGATTTAAAAAAATATATATTTAAAACCTTCTGTTGAAACCGCAGACGTGACATTTGGCGCGTCTTGACGTCGTATGTAAGATGCATTGTGCTACCAAATCGAAGCCTGAAAGGCCTGTTTTAGTGAAGAACTTTTTTTGCATTAATTAGCAACGTGTTTATTAATCGGGATGAGTTTATATTTAATTGAACATTTGCTGTTATTCTCGCGAGAAAGCACATATAAACTGACTATACTGACACTTTACAAGCGATACTTTGTGGGCCAAGAAGTTCAAAAGAATCATTTGGATCAATGTGCAATTGCGATTTTTCTCTTCGTTCAGGTTATCATTATCTCTCGCTGTGTTCGTCATTAAAATGTTTGCAATATTAATGCTCATAGACTTAGTTATCTCATGTCGTATGCTCCTCTCGATCATCATATACTGTGCCCGATTGATCAATTTCAATGTGTAAATGTATATGTGCAAGATATTTAGCGTTGTACTTGATTTAGCGGTCGCTGCGTTCCACCAAGTCGCTAAAAAGAATACACAGCCAAATGTAATACGATTTTGACAGATACATGTAATAGAAAATTTTACTCCTCGTCAACAAGCAACTGACGATATGGATATAGCAAGAACATCATTCAAAATTTAAGGTTCTGCAAGCTTCAATGCACCAAACCTTTATATATCTCATAAATCGTTCAACGAGATTCAAGGTTTTCCAAAAATCTGGTAGTAAAAGTGGTTGTATGAGCAAGATAGTGCAAGATTATTTCTAGCGATATTTTTTAAAAGACAGATCGTCGACTTTATTAACACATCTCCAATACAGTTTCCTTGTCTAAACTACATCTACTGATTGATTGGTTGCTTGTTGATTTTAAAAGTCGGGAACATTCACTCATATGGTGACGCTACCAGTTACCTATTGAAGGCTACGCTTAGTACTTAAGTCGAACTTTTTGGTACACTCACCTACTGCAACGCGAGGCCTGGTGTATAGCGTCTCCTCTGAAAAAAAAACATTTATATAAAAATATAATTTTTTTTTCATTTCAGGTTGTCGTGGAAAGGTTGTTGCATTTCATTCTATTCTCTCAAAAAGACTACATAACATCCCTGTGAACACAATCCTCAAATTTAACAATGTACTGACCAATGAAGGAGGGGGTTACAATCCAACGACAGGAAAATTCACAGCACCGGGAGATGGCGTCTACTCGTTCTCATGGACCTACTGTACAGAGACAAAGGATCCAAATTTTATGTATTTGGAATTGTGGATGACACAATTCGTGCCCACGTATTGATCCAAGGTCAGGCAAACGATTGGCAAAATACATCGAAACATCTCACTGTGAAAATGAAAAAAGGAAATCAATTCTAGATTAGAACTGATGGCTCAACTTCCAGATTTATACATGAAAATTATAGTTTTTTCTTCAGATTACAACTGTCTAGCTGTTAGAGTTTTGATTGAATAAAATATTACCTTGGAATTTTATTATTATTTTTTTGTTTATTATATTATTTTTCAGAATTTTTTTTAGATAAAATACACTGAAAGATATATAACACGAAATTATGTTATTTTGCATTGCTTTTAGATTACCTAATTTTTTTAAAGATTTGTACCGCTCTAATTTATATACGCATTGAAAAAAAAATAGTTTAAACATACACTGTAATTCAGGTCTAATTTTGGTTTTGTGTTTTGTTTTCCATGGAAATATGCCCTATAAGAGGCAATTTATTGTAAATTCCTAACTCTAACGCTTATTTTATTTGAAAAATTATAAAATGTGAATTGTAACTACCGTGCAAACTTTTAATGGTATTTTCATAAGCTGCTAGTTTTTATTTACTGTATTCATTCAAAATATATATGTTGATCAACAGAGAGCAACAAAGGAGATTTTTTCACCAAAAGTTTGTCAATTTTAGTGGAATTTTATCAAAGTGGGACACTCTCTTTCTAGAAACAGAACAAAAGCTTATTTATCTGAGAATTACAATGTGTTCGATTTGCATTTGATACAGTTGAATGATATGTAATATAATGTTAATTATTATATAATGATGAAGTTTTTCCCTTAACTTTTTTATAAAATAAAAAGAACCGAACATTATGTGCTTGCTATTCAGATACATAAATGTATAAATATAAAAAAAAATATTCCCCAATCAAATCCCAAACCGGGTCTACGATTCTCATATGGGAAAAATAAACAATTTATAAAAATATAATTTTGTGGGGTTTTCAAACTTGTGAATTCAGTTTTTTTTCATTTTTCTTTTTTCATTTGAGATTAAATAAGAATGGATTTGAATTTAACCAGATTATAAAGTCAATTAACTTCTTAAAATTCTAGAAAATGTTAAAATATTATAAATAAATTACAATCTTAAAGATATGACCTTCAAGATAACAAAAACACTGTTGTTGAGTCCCACACTCATAAAAAAAACCTTTGAATCTTTGCTTCTATAAAACTACATCGGCTGTTGTCCACAGATTTGCGAGATTTCGATATTCCGAATTTATTTGAATATAGGGAATGTTGTTTCTGGTCTTTGGATGTATTTGGAGAAAAAAACTTCTTACGCAGATGAATATCATATATGTACATGATTGAAGTTGTCGACAGGAACATTAAAGTAATCATGTTCATCCAAAAATTTGCAAGATTTCAAATTTCCCTTTAAGTCAAATCTTTGCTAATTCTTTTGTAGTTTCAAAAAACAATTTAAAACATTTTAAAGCTAAACAAGTAAGAGAATCTCTTTTTATTTCTACAATGTACGGATTTCTATATTTAGAGATAAGACAAGATTAGCCCTTCTAAGTTACCACAGTTGTGCTGCATTAAATGATAAATCATTATAAAAAATATCATCACATGTCCATTGTGTTTCCTATTTAAATTCAAATTTAATATTTTTGAAACATGTCAACATTTGGTCGAACAAATCATTAAATGAAATGGTATGACAAAAGTGTTCGACTACAAAGAATCAAAGTATTTGTTCCAGTCAATGGCATAGATATAGGTTCCTTTCGATAGACGCCCGAGTAAGCAGGGGGTTTTAGTTCCGCCTTAATTAAAACACCCAATTGGTCCAGGACAAAGGCCTGCTTGGGTCAAAGCCTCCGAAACCTAGTAAATTCTCAATAATTTTGATGTGTATATTTAATGCTTCTGATTGCATTTTTCTATCACAGCCATAATCAAGGTCTGATATTTGAGGTCTGAACTGTTTTTTTAAGTAAAATGCGGACAAACACACAGAAATGAGAAAGAGTCCGTCTAATATCGTTGTATGACAGGAAAGTCAATATTAAAATGTAATGAAATTAAAAAAAACAACATTAAAAAGTTAACCAAATTACATCCCGGGAGAAAATTGTTTACTATCATTTTTCACTTATGTTTCTGTTAATTTTCATTTACATGTATATTGTTTGTTATTGTTTATCAGTGATTTTTTTTTTATTTTTGAATTATTTAATTATTCATTTATCGCAAAATTATTTTTATGCTTTAAGAGCTCACAAGCATACATAGAAATTACGACTGACTTCCTCTATCTCCGTATAATAAAAAAAACGATGTGGAAGTTTGTAGTTTCAAACAAACGCCTGGCTAACAGCCCACTCAATTCAAAAAATATGCATGACAGAGTCCAAGAATTGTTATTTAGTTCAAATTCATGTGGACATGTATACGTCAAATCTAGAAGATAAGGCTTTCAGTATATACTAAAACCTTGAACTACAATGTGTAATTAAAAAAAAAGATAAGATTACCTTATTAACCAAACATATTGGTTTGTTCGTATACCTAACGAATTTATTCAAAGCAATTTAACGACGTTCAAGTCATTGATTGGTTAAAATGAATTTCGTTGCATTATTTACATGTGGAATTTTGCAGTTTTGCCTCATTCACTGTCAAGTTGTGATAGCTAGTGAAAAAGTTATGGATCAAGAATACGGAAATGCGCAAATCTATGACTTGCTTGAACTATTGGGGACAAAAATCAAAGAACAGGAGAAAAAGTTAAGACTCTTAACAGAAAATGACAGTCACCAAACGGATCTCATCAACAAATTGATGAAGAAGAATAGGGATCTTGAACAATCGGTGAATGAAAACATAAAAGAAATCAATTATACCTTAAAGACTGCTTGTAGAAGTCTAGCTGCAGTTTCAGAGAAAGTGTTGACAACGGTGCCTACATCTGACACTAGGAACACAACAGTGTCCAATATCCCGCTGAAGAAAACCATGCGCATTCCCAAATCCGACAAGGAAAGACAAAATAGGGAAAAGGCAGAGGCAGAGAAGCTAGATCGAACGTCCAGAAGTAAGGGGGAAGTCTATAGTTATGCAATTATAATTGATTCTGTCCAAACATGCATATGCTTACATTATATTGTATTTTAAATTGAAATAATCAGATTCTCTGTAATTTTGGTTATTAAATTTTTATGTTAAATACATATAATTATCTTGCATTTTGGCAGTTTTCCCATCTGTTGACATAAATTGCCGTGCGTGTATACGTTTTGTATTCAAAAATATGCTACCATAGTCATCTAGCTTACACTTTTCCTCGACCTCATAACTCTATCAAGAATATTACGTTCAATTTGTCAAATGATAATTCAGGTGTCATACAATTTTGATTTTTTTTTTGTCCCTATGGTCACAGTCAGTTAATAATCCTAATGGTCATTGTCAAAACTAATCAATTATGAAACACATTTAATAAATTGATATGATAAAACGGATTTTTAATATTGCAGATTTCTCGAGATCCAATGCTGATCCAATCATCGTATCCGATTCGCCTGTTGCTTTTTATGCATACCTAAGCGCCAATGAAAAAGTTCCTGGACCGCATCATATATTAACATTTGATTATGCAAAAACAAATATTGGAGGCGCATATAATCATTTTAATGGGATGTTCACGGCACCCACGGATGGAATATATGCTTTCAGTTGGTCTATATACTGCACATATCGTTCATGGGCCTTCACCGAAATCGTGGTTAATTCAGATGCAGTGGGTAGCTCCCTTGCCGATAGTATCGGCGCTAATGCTGACGATACGTCGACTGGGTTTGTTATCTTAGAACTTACTCACAGCGATGTCGTGTATATTCGCACCAATCCAGATGTAGCTACGACATATGACATAGTCAGTGAGGGGAGATTCCGAACCAGTTTCAGTGGCTGGAAGTTGTATTTAACTATTTTACTAAAGGGCCCATGCTACAATATTTTAAGATCATTTAAACTTGTTCAGCATATGTAAAGTTAATCGGTTTAAAATGCTGCATGCTATTGCCTCATAAAGCTGTAAAATGCTTTCAAAACTTTCTAAATTTCTGTGCATGTTCGGCTTAGATTTCAAATTGAGAAATTATATACCTATGTATAGCCAATTCATACAGAAGTCTGTATAGGCTAGAGTACAAAGTAAATGGAAACCTGTCATTTCATAAGATATAAGGAACAATATGATCGCAGTCATACCCAATAACATTTTATATCCAATATTCTTTACATTACATTAAGCATGCTTAGGGCACTAAACATTTTCATCGAAATCTGAGTGAAATGTGAAAGCAGATCATGTGTTTCAGTTTTTACTAAGTTCTGAACTTAAGCACGTCCCGAAGAGAGTCCCAACACGAATGAAAAACAGACGTAACGGTACCTTAAATGTATTAGTGTAAGTGTAGTTTTAAATCAAAAGACAATATAAAGATTGATGCTTTTTAGAATTTGTGACTTATCGTCAAATGATTACACTATTTAATTCTAATCATATTAGTTAGTATCAATACATTTGATAATTGTATGATTGAGTGAACAGCTGAGACAAGTCTCACCACAAGATATCTCTCGTTTGGTAAAGGTATCAAAATTCCTGAAAAGATTATTTTTGAAAGATAAGACACCTTTTAAACATGATATAAAAATTATTAGAATGTTTGTAAAACAGATGTGAGTATTTTCTGGATTTAGCATCCAAAACGAGCACTCTAAAAGAAGACAATCACTACTGATAAGCTATTTGCATCTCCGACACAAGTTGCCATTAACAGGTACGTATTTATCATATTTTTAAAAACAAAATATGTAATGATCAGAAATATAAGTTTTCAATAACATTTCATATGGTTGATTGCTAAGACACGTGAAATAGATTACTTATTAGTCTGTTTTGCTAGATTTTATTTTAAATATTATTTTTGTCTGTAATAATTCATCTTTCTTGTCTTGTTCAAATGAAAGTCTGGTTCTTGCGAAATTTATTTTAAGTAATTACGTTGTTCTTTAATGGATATGATTGATTGATTATACATTGTTTCACGACCCTCTACCTACAGAATATTTCACTCGTATGGAGACCAATTGCAGTTGGATAGCTGTAATTAAATTTTGTCCTATACTTGGCACACAGGGCCATTGAGCAGGGGGTCTCATTTTGCTGCCAGCACCTACTGCAACACGGAACCTCTCTTTAAACAGTCTCATCCGAAGGACTGGTCCCCACGTCCAAAAGTGAGATTCGAACCCGCGATGTAAGGATCAACTGCTTACATCGCGACTCTAACCACTGCGCCATGTGGGGTTAATGCATATATATTTACATCCACTGAATATTTCATTCTTTATTTCTTAAGAAAACCCATTGCGTTCATCCCTGCATAAACTACATTAGGCATATCACCTGTACAGATTTCTTGATCAGTGGCCGTTCCATCAATGAAACGTACAAAGACGTTCGCATCGTTATCACAATAATTAATATTTTTAATCTTACTTAAAATGATAATCTAAACAGATATAGATATAAACAATAAAATGTCTTTCTTTGTTTGTTGTTACTGGAATGAACGGAAGCAGCTGTTTCCGGAAAAAAAACATAACCCGCGTAAGCATTTTATTGTTTAAGTCAAGTGCAGTTAAGAAGCCAGATGCTGTTCTTCTATCTGATAAACTAAACACCGCTATTTAAATTTTGGGTTTAATATTTTGCTCAGATAGATATTTTATTTCAAATTTTCTGTTGTCTCATTGTCTTTTCCAATTTTAATTAATGCTCAAATCAATATTGAATGTTGTGCCTTTAAGAGCTGATAATTTATGCTCAGAAAGGTGTACTGGAAATAAATAAAATGCTGACCTTAACATTATGCTGCAATCATAATTAAAACTTTATTGAAAGATGAGTAATAAACTTTACAAACATCAGAATAATTTAAATCGTGCACACTATTTTCATTACGAAAAATGATGTTAAAAACGCCAACCTCCTTGTCTTTTAAGCAACAATACAATTATGTAATATTATGTAAAATTCCAATATAATGATCAAGGGTACTTGATCAAAAAGTCATGCCTTTTGACTGACTGCAAATTCTTTCTGTACCTTATGCTTAACTCCGTTATGATGTTGCAAATTGTTATTAAATTGATACATATACATTTTGATGAAAAACGATGTCTTGAGTATTTGATATTTAATCCATGACTAAACCTTCTCTAAATTGGAAAGTTTTAGGATATATATCAAGGAACAAAACAATATTATAAACTATTCATGGTTGTCTGATAATTTGATGGCTTTTTTTGTTTTCCAAAAGCGTGAAGTTTTGACATTGTTAGACATGACATATTTGTTTAAACGTCTTGACACTTTGTTGCACGGAGCTTACCATAATACTATAAACAACTTTGACTATGTTTGTAATAAATACGAAAACAAAACCTTTGTTTTTAAAATCGAAACAATTTTACTGGAAAGTAAATTGTTAAGGAGCACAGCTTTTGTAGAATGAAAATAAAAGCAATAATTCTAGGCCGATTGTGTCATATCACATCAAACCAAATCCTGTTGACGTTCTAGTAGTTTTTTTTTTCATTTGTATTGTTTTACTATGATAGATAATTTTTTTCAAAGAAGTGGGTCTCGCTCTATGTTGAGTCACGTCAAGCGCTCGGGTAACTCATTCTACCACCTATTTTATCGCAAATTCATTACAAAAATACTGTCGTTAAGAGAGTTAGCTATCGTAATCATTATATTCACAAAGAAAAAACAAAAGAAACCGATTTCAGAATTTGAATTTTTTAGGTGGTCCGCTTTACGTTGATGTTCCTCTAACTGGCTTATGATCACGGGCTTTTGCTATTTTTTGCCGTAATTACCCCCGAAACACACTCTCACATTTACCTTTCGACTGGTCTCCGTAAAGTCCATATCTTTTTTCACTGAACATCTCTTACACTTGGTGAAAGATATGATTCGAAATACTCTAGCTGGTGTCTTTCAACAAAGGCCTTCCTTGTTGAAAGGGTTTATCATGAATAATATTCCTTTTTAAAGTACCTCACTGATGAACACCACGCAAAGAAGTACCCGGTATTAAGTCTGCGACCGATGCGTAAGGGAGACATTGAAGATATTGAAAATTTCCATTTTCACTTGGAGGAGGGGGGGGGGGTCGTCACACGAGTTTCTATACCTCGTGAATAATGTGGCAATATCAAATGGGATTTTAGTTAGATATTCAACAAATTAAAGGTGATAATTTAAACGATAGATAAGGAAACTAGAAAAATACATTAAGTAAAATAAAAGTATTTTGTCTAAAAAAATTACCCTACGTAAACTTTGTCATGAATATTTTTCTTACAATTAAAAGTTATATTTCTTTCGCCACAGTTTACAGTGCTTGGATCTTGACATCTCGCGTTAATATCAGAGAACAACTGTGGATATGGACACTATTAAAGATATGGGCTACCTTGACTGCAATAATAGAAAGAAGGACACAGCTCCGTGTCTTCGAACACGAAATTAGGAAAGTTTCTACACAGTTCGTCAACAGTCCAGGATTCTTTGTAAAACGAATGTCCAATATACAAAGAACATCAGAAATTGAGAGAAATGATACAATGATCGGTGTTTTTTCTATTTAATATAAAATTAAATAATTAAACTTACTTTTAGGAACACTTTTTAATTTGTCAAGTAAAGACTTATATTCTGTTAAATTGCGCTCGAATTCTTCTGTCTTCTTTTCAAAGAGGTTTGCGTCTCAGTGCAAGTAACATTGTTTCTTTTTTTTTTTTTTTTTGCTTGAATTTCAAGTTCAGAGAAATCTTCCGTGGTTGATTTATGTGAAGAATCACAAGTCTGTAATCTGTCCTTTAATGCGCTTGTTTCGTTGAAACATGAAGATATGACAGTAGATAAGTTTGTATTCATTGTAGAGATTATGACGTCATACTCAGATAGGTTTCTTAAAGCAACTTGTAAGATTTCTTCACATCTCTGCAAACTATCGTTCAATGCAGCCAAATCCAGAATCTCATTCTTTAATTTTTGCGTAATATTCCTCTGGGAGCTTATCATTTCCAGATGCTCGCGCTCAGTTGAGGACATATTTAGCTTGTATTCAAATATGTTCCCTCTACAAACGTCAAGGCTATGTTCACAGCTGTTGAAGGAATCATTCATTTTTGAAATTTTATGGAAACTTTCTAGTTTTGTTTTATTCTGTATTTCAAGAATATTCCAACAGTTTTGATTACCCATTGCAGAAGACTGTAACTCTAACGATGTTTCATTCAAGTTTGATAAAGTGTCATTAAGTGTCAAATTGCACTGCAAACTCTCATTCTAAAGTATGAAAAGTGTCTTCTCCACTAATTTAAGGGCCTCGGAAAAATCCGTGACATTAGTTTTTACTTCCATTAGGACTTTGTTACATTGTATCAAACTGTCGTTAATTGCATCTACTTTTGCTCTCTCAGCGTTCAGTTCAAGTGATTTTTGTTCCATTTTTTCGATTGCGCTATTAATTGTTTCATTTGTCGTTCGAAGAAGAAAACTTGTGTTTGCAAGGTTAAACGTACATCCATCTTACTTCTTTTCACAAAATGACAGGGATTTGTTTACTGATAGCATGTTGTTGGTTTTGTTTTAATTTTGTATTGAAGCTCCTGTAGTTTAAGAACTGCATTCAAATTTAATTTGCTCAAAGAATCAATTGTATTTAAAGACTCCGAAACATTCATTTCCATTTCTTTAAGTTGAAGTTGGCATGTTTGGGACCTATTTTTGTACAAACTAACCGTGTTTTCGTTCTTTATTCCAAACTGTACCACCTCATTTAATTTTTCCGTTGTTAATCGATGCATGGTCTGATATACGTTGAGTAGAATACCACATGTTTTGATACTTTCGGTACAGACATTTTCTTTCAAATTTTCTGTAAAAGGTCCCTGAAATTTCCT